TTCCAAGCCAGAACCACTCTTTGCTGTGTGTGCAGGTAGAACCTTGCATGCAGAGATTACAGCTGCAGGACTCTCAGAGCTATTGTAATACCAAAAAATAATAACTGTTCCTACAGACTGACACAATTAACCAAATTCCACTCACAGATCATAGTTGGCAACTCATGCAGCATTTTATGTAGCTGAAGTTGGAGACCAGTTCTGTTCCTGAGTTCCATCTCTGGCTCTAATGAGCAATAACTCTGCATAACTCTGGCATTCAGTTCACCTATCAGTAAAAGAATTACTTTCCTCACAGAGCTTTTTACATTGAACCAGATTTTTAATATAAGCTTTGACATTCTCAGATGAAAAGAATAATGTGCACAATATATTATGATAGCAAAAACTGTATATGACAGATTCCTACATGTTTTCCTGTCTTTTGTCTCACCTTTCCTGTCACCATACTCCTACACGGGACTCAATACACACCGTAAATGTTTGAGTAACGCCAACTTCAAACTAATGAATTGTAATTAATGTACTTGTTCTTTGCTGAGCAGTGTTGTGTGTGTTTATTTTTAATCTGATACTTTTTGGACAGAGACAGAGGTTACTCCCCCTGAGAGTTCAAATATCAATAGTGCTCTGCATAACAAGGGAAGTTTTTAATGATTCCCACAAAACCGCTGCCACTTGGTAACAAGACAATGGCCCTGAGTGTAAAATTTACACTGAGTGTAAAATTTTTGCCTCTAGTGCTATTCCCAAGGGACTAAATCTTTAAGTATAGTCAACTTTGCCTAGGATTCAGCAAGAGTATTCCTCCTGTAGGACTGAGGAGATGATAAATAAGAGTTTTAAGAACTGGCCAGAGTTAAAATCCTGAAGAGCAAACATTTATACATTGACTCTGTAGAAATGTTGTCTCCCTTTTAATTTCCCTATAAGTGGAGAAGATGGAGAGGATCTTGGGTGTATCTCTTTGCAGAAGCACAAGGTACAGTTTTATCTCATCCTCAACATCTCTGAAAAGCTTATGCCTCATGTTCAGAAATGTCTAAGGTTCCATTGACTTTCAATTTAATATTTTAAAGAGTATTTTGGCTGCCTCTTTGCATCTAGTATCTGGGAACAAGCACAGGTGTTATGTAACCATACATCTCTTCATGGATTACAAGCAGGTTTTCTGGTAAGTTAAAGATGGTGTAGAAAAAGATAAAAGTCAGGTTTAGCAACGATATCTAATGGATATTTAATAAAAATAAAAACAAGTACAAATAGGATCACTGTATTTATTCAGTGACATATTATTACAACAGTCACTGCCTGTTGTCTGTGTTACTGAACTGCTGTCCTGCTTCAAGGCAATTATCAGCCCCAAAAATATTTTCATCCAAAGGTTTAAACTGCAACAACTGTAAGGACATGTGGAAGATTCTTCTGTCATTATCTCATCCTTCAGTTCTAACATGAATGCTTGACTGGGATGGCCTGTGACTAGTGGAGATGAATAAACAGTTGGAGCTGGTATTTGACTGGTTAATGTGTGTGCCAAAGTGTGTGTGTAGAGCCGGGGAGGCTCAGCAGTTCCTGGGGGCTGTCACACTGATCTCACACAGCAAAGCAGCCCTGAGTCTCTGCCTGTGGCTCCCAGCAAGCCCTGATGTGCCAGTCAGGCTTTGCTATCAAGTAAAAGCTTGTGTGTTCTTGAAATGTGCCTTCAACTCACAGGTGTACTCAGTGACTTGAAAGCTTTCATATACTCTAAAAACTTGTCTTGCACTCCAAGGAGGAATCTTTGTTCTTAATACAGAGCCCAAGCCTGCAAGTTCTCTGTGGAAAACCAGGCTCCCAGCATAGATGTACAGTTGTTAAGCAGCTTCAGCAATGGTAAAATGATCCTTGCTTTGTACTTCTCTGCAATAATTTCCAATTCTTTGGGACGGAAGGCTGTGAAACCATGAGTTGCTATTAATTACACTGATTTACTTGGATGATGGTATGTATACCCATTTTGCCTTGCAGAAATACTTAGGGGGAGAGGTACTCTTTTTTTCACACATCACTGCATTATATTGGAGAGGATTTTAGCATGTTTTCTGATTTCATTTGCCACATTGGGGGTTCAAGTTTACAATTTGCAGCTGACTTGACAGTCCAGAAAGTACATGATTACCAGTTATGTCTCTGTCTTGTAGTAACATATCTAACCAAGGAAAGAAACACTGGAGATCTGAGCTTTAAGGAGTAAATATGAAATTTCCTTTACAAAGAAAGGAAATTGAGTCTGTTTAGTCAATTCTTGAGGAAAATGTGCAGTTATAATTGTACATTTAAACCCTCAACAGTTATTCAAGAACTCAAAATGCCTTAGAGGTTAGCTACAGGTCATGAAAATATTAGAAAGATTTGAAGGGAGGTAACTGAGTATTTATCAAAAAACCCTCTACATTTTTGGGGGTTCTTTTGTTACTGTTTCAGAAATATTTAACTCATATTCTTTTACGTGTATTTATATTGTTTTAAATATTTATACATAATCAATATACCCTTTTTTTGTTGATAATAGCTAATTTTAGAGTAGCTAAAACAGATCTTGGAATGTTTTTTTAACAGTACAGCAGTTAAAATTCATGATTACTTGGTTTTAGATACATCAGAGTATCACCATAACCGTGTACTTCAGGAATACCTGGTAATTTATAGACTGAACAAGGGGTTCTAGTAGGGAACAGACAGTGCCACTTGTTCCTGCTTGGAATTAGATTTCAAACTTGCCACCTGTATTGCAAATTATAGACCTTCAAGGACTAATCTAGAGAAAGACAATATAGTAAATTACAGGTGAAAAAAGAGGTAAAAAACCCAAGCAGATACAACTGCATAGTGAAGAGACCCAAATGAAACAGAAGGAAGAAAATCAAGCTGCACACATGAGTTTACCTTATCTGAATTGGAAGATATCCATATTAATCAATCTTTGGAGATGCAGAGAGAATAAAGAAAGAGTCATCTCGCTGTGATGGGCTTCAGAAAGGCCTTGAGACATTCTCTCCTTGGGGAGAATTTAATAATCTTGCATTTATAAAGTTGTGATGCTTTGCTTACCTTTCATGCCCAGCGGTTACAATTGCTGTGTGTGAAACCAGAGAAGTAAGGGATGGCAGCTCCTCTCTCCTGCTGTTTGCACGGGGAAGCACAACACAAACCCTGGGAAGCACAACACAAACCCTGGGAAGCACAACACAAACCCTGCGCATGCCACAGCCCTTGTGGGTGGCAGTGGAAGCGAGGACATAGCCGGTGGGAAGTGACAGCTGGGAATACAAAAGAAAAAAACAATGGGGATTTGGAAGCAACAGGTGGGAGTAGGATTCAGAAAAGTACAGTCAGGACTTCTGAGGAGGCAGGAACTAATCCGGGCCTCATTGAGTAGGTCCAGTAGAAGAACAGCTTGAAGAGGCAAAACAGGAAGACTGTGCTAATGTTGTATGACTGGGGAAGCAAATACAGACAATAAACTCCTACTTCATCAAAACTCTACTTGTTTCTTAACCCAGCCTGTATCCTAGCACTCATCTGTGAATAATATGCTGCTGCTTTTGATAGAAACTCTGACTCGGCTATTGCTTTAAGAGCAAAGGCTGTAGCTGTGGAGCTGCACTGAGCTCTTCCATGACAGGTGGACAGGAAAGGGACAAAAAGGGTTATTTAAAGTCGGCCTGCTCTCGGTGCAGTGGCAGGTGTACTGGCAGGCAGCTCTGTGACCTTCTGGGGTAGAGCTCGCCAGTAACTGAGCTGGATGTGACTGACAGGGCTCTGTGCCTTCAACACAGAATGTCCCAAGTTATTTATATGGGTTTGTTTAGTCTCGGGGAGGCTCGGGGGCCCCTCATTGCTCTCCACAACCACCTGAAAGGAGGAGTGGGGGCCGGTCTCTTCTGTCTTGCCTGCAGTGAGAGGCCTTAAGCTGATATGGGAGATTCTGATATTTGAGATTTTTTCCCTGCTAGGGTGGCCACACTTTGGAATAGGCAAAGCCACCATCCCTGGAGGAGTTCAAGAGGTGTCTGGATCAGGTTCTGGGTGATGTGCTCTAAAGCTCTGGGGGTTACAGTGGTTGTACTGGGTGAACATTGGACATGATTTCTTAAAGGTCTGTTCCAACCTTGCTGATTCCTTGACTGTTTTGTGCCATGTCCCAGTTAAGGCAGGCAGCGCAGGGAGACGTGGGTGCACATCCCCAGAGCGCGGCAGGCTGGAAACGCGACCGCACTCCCGGCAGGGAAGCGCTGAGCATAGAACCGGGGGAACACCTCACGCAGCGGGACCGCAGCCTTCTGAGCACCATCTGGGGGTCGGAGGTCCCGAAATCCATTCCTGCCCCTCGATGTCTCCCGGTGGGGAGAGGGGACGGGCCCCATCCCGCCCGCACCAAGGGGTCGGTGCCTCGGCGGGCCGTGAGGGGACGAGGCGGAACTCACGGGGCCTCGCGCGCGCCGCCATAGCGAGGGCGCGCGGGCACGTGGAGCGCGCGCATGCGCGGCTCCTTCACCTACACACCCGGCGCGCGCCCCCGCCCTCCCGCGCGCGCCGTCCTCTGTGTCTCCGCGGCGCGGCCACGCCCCCCCAGCGCTCCCCGACCAATGAGCGCCCGGCTTGGGGCGGTCGGGGGGCGCGGCCTCTCCACGGCTGCGCACGCGGGACCTCCCCGGCGTGTGTGTGTGTGCGGAGAGCAGTGCGCCTGCGCATCGCACCGCCCGCGGCACAGCGCGCCCGGGGCGGGGGGCTCGGTGCGCACGCGCGGTGCGGCGGCCGTGG